TTATGGCATTCCTTAGGGGAGGACTATGTTCATCGGTGGACTTGTGAAGGGTTTTAATGATGATAAATGATAATGACATTATATTAATATGATACATAAATAGAATGGAAGTTACGGGTAGAGTCCATCTATCCATAGAGTCCATTCTATTTATTTAGGTATGGTAGGGTATAGAATTTTTATCGATATAATTTGGTACACTGTCTTATCCCTATTATTAGTTCCGTGGACGTGCACTTCTGTTGTCAGCGCCAAAATGGCGGAAATCAAATCGCTTCATCATGTCACGGTGTATAGTCAGTCCAGCGTACTTGTATATATAGAGGTCAGTGGTGCCCTTTCAACTTCTAGAAATTTGGTTTTTGTGGCTCCATCCCATACAGGAATACAATATACTAAGACAGATTGAGCCAAAGCAATATACAGGTTGTGAGTGTAGACACCGTTGTCCTTGAAACCAGTGGTTTGGTTTCACTTATAGAACGTAAATTCAATGAATTTAAAAAAAGACGCTATTTTCTTCCATAAAATTTAAAAAGTTTCTGTCCGACACCGTCCGTAAATTCATGGATACCCTATGCGCCCGAGTGACGTAATCACTGTAAAGATCACCGCCCGCGCTAGCTACCTACAGAACATTCCAATAAAAACACAATAGGTACATATAACCTGTGGTATAACTTTTCCTTCATACTTTCATCCTGGCATAGGACAGGCAAAAATTGAGGTTTTAAGGAAAAATTGAGTTTTACTAAAAAAAAATGTTGTTATTTTTCATTGAATTTACGTTCTATAAGTGAAACCAAACCAGTGATTTCAAGGACAACGGTGTTTACACTAACACCCTGTATATTTGATAAAGTAACTTTTTTGTCTTAGTGTTTTAAATGTTCATGTAAGTTTCCTTAGTCCATTCATGTTGATTCAACGTATCTATGCCGCGACAAATGTTGGCCAACTATGACTTCTAACTATTTGGTCTCAGAAAACTTACTAATTGATGAACAGCTGCAACTAGTACTTACGGGATCATAGCATATGTGAAGTTTAATTTGAAAATTAACATTAGGCTGAGTTCGAATATAATTTGAAAAACATGTTTATACCTAACTAGTTTTCAAAGTATTTAAAGTAATTAGTTTAGTGTTCAGCCACTTAGCGATCTTAGCAAGGACTTAATCAGCAGATCTACGAACAGAATCCCAGGAGTCACCAGTAAATATTACTGCAGTATCATCTGCATAGGAGATTATTTTGCCCTCGTTAATGTCCATGTTGGTTAAATTACTTATGTAGATTAAAAACAAAGTAGAACACAAGACACTGCCCTGTGGAACTCCGAATGTTATATCTGATTCATCGCTTAATTATTCACCTATGTTTACTTTCTGCTTGCGATCTTAAGATAGTAAGTAGTAGTTAAATAAATCTAAGTGAGCACACCTTATACCTGTATCCTCAAGCCTGTGAACAAGGATTGATTTTACATATTTCCAAGAGATCCTCTTAAGCGGCAGACTTAGATTGCAGCTTGTAGAAATCATGAATCTTGGATACCTAAACGGACTAGCACCATTTGCTCCGAACATTTTGATGAATCATATTTCATACCCCAATTCATCAATAAAATAAGGTTAGTCGATACTGTTGTACCAACCTTGAACTTGTGGGAGGTTATGTCTAGCTGTAATTATATCAATAGATTAAATAGTTTTATTACTACCTTTCACACCAATATTATTCTTCTTGAAAATATTTTAGAATCTCGACAAGTTTACAATTATGACTTCTTATATTTACGCGAATACAACACATTAAATGACACAAATTTTACGGATTTTATCACGTTAAATTTAGATTTTTGATTCCCGACGTTTCGGGTGTACGTACGAAATTTAATGTTTGACAAAATGCGGCACGTGTTGAAGCACCGCAGCACAAAAACGACTGTATCTAAGCTTACAGACTGTACACCAAAGAAAATTAAAATAAAAACAGCAGTTCTTAAAGAAAAAGTTACAAGTTTGTAAGGAATACTAGATTCGCTGACGGAGACATCTTTGATAAACAAAGAAAACAAATAGGTACTAGAAAAGATAGGAACTGAAGAAAGCGAACTCTTAAAGAGACAATTACTTAAAAGTAAGTCTAAAAACTGCCCAGAACTAAATATTTCACAGAGTTGAGATGTTTCGCCCTAACACTTGATTATTAACGAAAATCCTATCCATATGTACGTGAAACTTTTGGAACATGTTTGCCTGTACCATGGATATTCACTAAATGGTACAGTATCATCAATGGCCGACCAGTGTTTACTCAAGGAGCGCTGACAGCTTTAAAATTGTGATCGGAGAGTAACCCTGATAAAAAAATTATTGTACCTTGGTCATGGATGACATGAAAATTAAGCAATTGATTAAATACCATGCTAGCATCCAAAGGCATTATGACTTTGTTGCCAACGGGTTTGGTATTATATCCGATAATATCGATAAACTCTCCACAACAGCGCTCGAGTATGAGCGAGGTATAGGGTATGATAAATCGCCGTAAAATACGTTGAGTGTTTTTGAAAATAAAAATTTTGAAAGCAATAAAATAATTATTGTAAAAAGAATTATAGTGAAAATCTGTGCAATAAAAAATATATAAAAAGTTCATTTAGACTGTAACTAAATAAATAATAATAATAATGTAAATAATGAAAGCAACGAAAGCAAGTAAGGCTCGCGGATATGATAGAGTTTCACTCGAAATGCTAAGGACTGGGGAGGAAGTGGTGGTGGCAGGCCTGCTGCACTTTAATTTATGCTGGGAACTGAAATGGGTACCGGGAGACTGGTGCAAAACCGTTATAGTCCCTGTATACAAAGGAAAAGGGTCGCAGCGGGACTGTAAAAACTACCGTGGTATCAGCCTTCTTAGCATTGTGGGAAAACTGTATGCTAAGGTATTAATTGAAAGGGTCATGAAAGAAACTGATGGAAAAATTTGGGATGTGCAAGCGGGATTTAGAAAGGGAATGGGATGTACAGATCAAATCTTTTCCATGCGCATGATCGCGGAGAAGTTTTTAACAAAAACCAAAAGGTTTTTTGTGTGTTCGTGGACTTGGAAAAGGCCTATGACAAAGTGGATAGGGATGTGCTATGGCAAACACTGAACTCATTTGGGTAGAGCGTTGGCTTGATACAGGTATTGAAATCTCTTTATAGGGACTCTAGTGCTTGTGTTAGGATCAACGGGGTCTACTCGGAATGGTTTGGCATCCATAAAGGTGTCAGACAGGGCTGTGTGGCTTCCCCGTGGCTGTTCAACCTATTTATGGACAGTTGTTTGCAAAATTTGAAAGTTGAAGAATGCGGATTAAGAATGGGTGAGTTAACCGTCAAATGCCTTTTGTACGCCGATGATCAAGTTATACTTGCGTCGTCGGCGGCTGAGTTGCAAATGATGGTTACATTAATGAACAGATCATTAAAAGAAAGGGGAATGAAAGTGAATGCAAGTAAGACGAAAGTTATGGTTTTTGAAAGAGAAGAAAGTAGAACAATATGTGAAATAGGAATAGAAGGGGAGTTAATCGAGCAAGTGGATGAGTTTGTATACTTGGGTTGCGTATTCAGTAGGGATGGGAGATATGATAAGGATATAGAACGACGGGTAAACTCAGGAAATAGAGTAAATGTGTCCTCCTACACTCTATTGTGAAGAGTCAAAATGTGTCAAAAAAAGCACGTATGGCAATTCACAATGCTGTGTTGGTCCCTACTTCAACGTATGGTAGTGAAAGTTGGGTGTGGCAAAAGAAGCACGAGAGTAGAATAAATGCAGTAGAAATGCGGTCGTTAAGGAGTATTTTAGGGCTGAACCTGAATGACAGGGTGAGAAATTGTGTGATAAGAGAAGAGTGTGGTTTGTAAGATGATTTTGTGACCAGGATTAAGAAAGGAATGCTTCGGTGGTTTGGTCATGTGGAAAGAATGAATGAGGAAGGAGTAACAAAGAAAATTTATGTTGCAGAAGTCAATGGCAGAGTCGGAAAGGGACGCCCTAGGCGAAAATTTATCGACTAAATTAGCGATTTGTTAAAAACGGGCCAAATTAGAAGTGCACTTAACTGACAAGCATGTATGCGTAGGTATATGGATATGAAGGAGGCGAGAGAGGTGTGTCAGGATCGTGCCAAATGGAAGTCTGTAGTCTCTGCCTACCCCTCTGGTGATAGGCGTGAGTGTTTATGTATGTATGTATGTATGTAGCTACAATAGCGCCACCCTTGTGTAACGCTTTCCTAAGGACACTTTTATACAGAGTCTGTACTCCATACCTCCATAGTTGAAGTTTTGGCGGGAACTTGGCCGTCGAACCGTCGACGGATTGTCGCTCCTGTTTTGTCGCTTGAATAATGGTTTAAAATGGAGTTTGATTTGATTCGTAAAAGTGATGCGATTTTGTGAATTAAGTGTCTGCGCGTGTGAACTATTAGGGAAAACGACGAAACAAGTGCTTTGATGATATAAACCTCAAGTTATTTAGATCGCTTGGGCGCCTTACGAACTTGAGTGGCTGTCGTCATCAACTGCCCGCTGCTCTTTGACTAGAGAAGAAAGTTCTCTCTTCTCTAGTCACAGCCGCTGCTCCGATGGGTTGAGCTGTCGTCAAAATCTTCCAAAAACTTCGCATTATGTAAGCATATTGAGAAGAAAACATATGTAAAAATGAAGATTCCGAAAAAATGTTAGGCTCAGAAGGGCTAGAACCCAGAGCCGTAAAGCCAGTTATATAATAATATAAAAGTACTCCATAGTTTGATACCATGCGTAGTATCCTCTTAGTAGTCTGTGTTTGATACAGTTTGATAGCTTGCTACTTGCTGCATATCTATTTATTTATGTGTTTGATGTACATACGAGAAAATAATATCAACTTTTATATGTATTGTATTTATAATATTAGCATAGTATTTTTTATTTCGTGAAATTTTCAGCTTTACTATGGGTTGGTCTTTGTTGTTGTTTTATAAGTAACGTTTAAATAAATCTAAGTATGAAAATCTAAAATTTTGTTCCAGAAAGTGTAGTTGACGATCAAGAAAATTTAAAAGAATTCCTGGAGGAAGCTGAACTTCATCAGTACTTTGAATTGTTTCGGTAAATAAATACAAATAGTTCATTATATATACATGTAATTTTTGGTTGCTGTTTTTGTTTTAGTCATTCATACATTTTTACTGTTCGCGGGTGTGCAATTTCCTTTTTTAACTTGCTAGCGTGCAATGCTCATATGCGAATGTTATGAAGCATTATTTAAATATAGTGCGTCTTCTCTTTTAAGCATTTTTTTATTCATTACGCATTAAAATTATCCACAATACTTGGGTAATATTTTTGTCGAATATGAAGTACAAATACAATTAAAAGTAAATATTTCCTATTTTCTAACATAGCGAATTTTATTAATGGGGATTGCAAAATCTATTCTAACAAAGATTTCATCTGCCCCATTATATATATTCAAACTATATATATATATATATATATATATATATATATATATACATTATATATATATTTAAGATACATATTATTAAATATATTTCAAAGCAAAACATTTCAAAATGTAAACTTGTGTTACTTTTGTAATATCCAAACATCTGGATGACACATTTGAAACATCTGCTACCTAGTTCAACATTGAAAAAATAAATGTGTTATGATACATTTCCTTTAATGGAATCTACATCACAATTGACATCATTTCTGTTTTTGCATCTTTTATATTATGTTAATTCTTAAAAATTGAAATTGTCATTGTGTTAATTCAGCTAGATCGAGTGTTTGAGTATTTATTGACTCACTAATTGTATATTAAGGTTTAAATAAAAGTGTACTTCCTGATTGTATATATTATTATTAGTAAAATTAAATAATTTAACTAAAAGTATAAAGATAATTATTAATATAAAAGGCACTTAATAAGATATTGAAATAAATATTTAAGGTATTTCAAATTATCTGTGAAATAACATATTTACAAAAAAGCCTTCTGATGATTTAGGTATTCATCTATTGTGTCTGTAGTTCATGGTGTACAATTACATGTTTGCATTTTCATTCTAGAGAAATACTTAAAGTTACAAAATTGTCGCAGTTAAAGTTTGTTGTAACAGAAGATTTAGTACAAATTGGCCTTTCAAAACCTGAGCAGAGACGATATAAGAAAATATATTCAAAATACTTCCCAAATCCTTATATATCAAAGATCAAAAAATTATTAACAACAAACAAAAAGAATGAAGCGGTAAGGAAATATAAAATTTTTTAAAAGCATAGTTAATTGATAGAATCAGGCGTTACTTTGTGGAAATCCATTATAATAAAGATATTAATTAATTTGCAACCTTCCACTAACTAAATACAATAATGTGTCTTACCTGGATTGAAGAGCACCTCCCTTCCTCCCTCAATTGCGTGCACCAATCCCGACTGTCCACTCTTAGCGGTCAGCCGCCATAGAGTCTACATCACCTGAGGATGCCTCGTGTGGAGGTTAAACACATGTTGAATTATCGTCGATAGTGTGTCTTTCCTAGAATATTGGTGTTGGGAGTAGTGGTGCTGGGATTGGTGGTGAGGGGATTGGTGCACGCAATTGAGAGGGGGGTGGGTAGGTGCTTTTCAATGCAAGTAAGACACATCATTGTATTTAGTTAGCGGAAGGTTGCATATTAATTAATATCTTTATTAAAAGCATAGTTATTATTTCATTACAGACTATCAAGAGTTCATTGCTGAACATATGCCTACACTTTAAATTGCCCCTCTCAGCAGGTGGGTTTGCAACCACAGTTATTATTATGTTTGTTTCTGTTATCAGAAAGTTTCTGTTGCCTCCTATGTCTTTCACGGGGTGATATGGGGTAGGGCTCTTACACTGCACCTATATGGCACCACTTAATATTAAGACAAATTTTATCCTTAGCGGAAATAAATCCTGTATATATTTGTAATTCATATTTTTCATTTTTGTTTCTGCAAAATTAAAAAAAATCTGTTTCATAATTTTGATGGGCTGGTAGAAACTATATGATATAATTTTAATTTTTCAGTTTTCCATCGGTCATAACTCTATACCAATTGAATTTCAACCTTTCTCTGAAAATAATGTTAAAGTACCTACCAAACATATTATATCTATTGAGGATATAACTATAAATAAAGAGTTAGGCATGGGACAATTTGGTGTTGTACAACAAGGCACTTGGACTACTGGAAATCAAAGGGTAACTTGTTTTAAAAATCTATAAGCATTTATATCAAAAGTTTTATTTATATGTCATTTAATAAAATAAAAATAGTTATGAGCATAAGTCTCCAGCTAGCTAAACTATCGGCCAACTTCAACATAGGTGTTTTATGTACAAACAGGTGTTTTATGCATGGACACTTATCAAATTTGCTGGTTTTAAAATCTGTGACAAGGCACATAATACTGATCCAATTATCGCTTTTTCTATATTATTATAAATTATACTACTTGTGCAGTTAAAGAATGGGATTGAAAACGGCGTTGTCTCTGTTCATCTATTGCTATCTTTAACCACACCGGCAGGTAAAGACTACAAAAAATATATATATAAATTCACTCAGACATGGTTAACATAGCATACACATACAACATGAAGCGACTTTAGTTGCCATTACAACGAAGACTAAATCTAAAGAATAAGATTAAAATCGCCCATACAGTTATTATTGACCGAATTTACTTCAAAATTCCTATCTTACAAGTTAAATACAATAAGGTTCCTAAACAATTTGTGGTTGATAAGAAATACAAGTCTTTCAGGCAGAATGTATGGGAATTATCCAAGCGGCTATTGCAATAGATGCTAGGACAGTGAAAGACTCCCCCATCAGAAAACTGACCGACAGCATGACAGTACTACAAGTTCTGAGTTGCAATGTGGTAAACTCGGTACTAATATATGAATGCCATTAATGTCTTAATAAGGTATAAAAACACAACAATGTGACTTTGCAATAGATGAACGGGCATATTAGATCCAGGGGCAACAATGCAGCAGACAAACTGGCTAGAAGAGGGTCGGCTCTGACAACTATAGGGCCAGAACTAATCATACTAATCTCTGGTAACATTCATTCACTGGTATATTTTTATTATTATGTGCGAGCAGCTATGCAGGTCTAGGGAAGGAGACCAGTATCACTGCGACTTTGACTTTCGTTTTCTTAGCCCTATTAAATAGTTTCCTGGTCTGTTCCTTAAGTTCTTTTAGCTTAGTATTCCGCCAAGGAACTTTTCATGTTGGGGTCTTGGTTTTGACAGGACAACTGTCCTCGAAGGCTTCATGGATACCTATGGTTACTGTCACCGTCGTCTAACTCCAGACCTTCAATCATTTTAATGCTTTTAGGAAATGTTTCCAAATTCCTTCTTGGGCTATCTCTGTAGATATCCCAGGAGGTCACTTTTGGAGCCCTAAAAGCAATGGTTTCATAGGTTGGTGATGCTGCAATCACAAACTTAATGTGTTTGTGATCAGACAAGTTTTCGCTACTAACATGCCAGTCATTTATCCGCCTGGACATTTTATTGGTAGCAAAGGTTATATCTAACACTTCTTGCCTAGCATGCATTACAAAGGTTACACCCTAAGTTTAGGCTTACCAGGCGGTTGGAGATGAGAAAATCATAAAGTAACTCACCTCTTTTGTTGATGTTAGTGCTTCCCCTGGCTGTGTGGTGATCATTAGTATCACAACCCACCACAAGTTCGGCGTTGTGCTTTCGGGCGTACTTCGTTACTCGCTCTTCGTGAAGATAGGCTGAGCAAATGATTACTCTGGCCCCTGTGCACCCCTTGAGATTTATAAAGGCTGTAACCAGGTCATCATAGCAGTGATACTCTGGAACAGCTAAAAGTTCAATATTTTTATTGTAAATTATACAAGCTCTGGATCTACTGTCTTTAGTATTGACAAGAATCTTACCAGCAGCCAACTATCCCAGAACATGATCGTCGGCCTACATAAAATGTGTGAGGCATCCACATCAAAGTCTCTTAATATGAGCGAAGTTATGTTGTCTCATAAAATCAAAAAACATTATTGTAACGTTGATTTTTTTATTACAGTTGCAAGTGGCTATAAAATGCTTGGGTCATGAACGTATGACTTCAAACTCCACTGAATTCTTGAAGGAAGCTGCTGTTATGCACAGCATTGAGCACCCGAACATTGTACGATTATATGGTGTTGTTTTACACTTAGACTCGTTAATGCTGGTAAGTCACAAAAACATATTTGGTATTATTTTTATAAAGATGAGTTTATTTGATAGTTTAAAACATGCAATTTTTAATAGCACGCAAGATGATGCTTACTGATGACTTTTTTCTAGTTTAGTCTACTGCTGAACATAGGCCTCCCCATAGATTGCTTAATAAGGAGGATATTTAACATATTTGCCACGCTTGGCAGGCACAGGTTTCACCAAGACACAGGTTCAACCAAGAGATTTAAAGCAGCAGGTAACTGCTGCTTCAAATCTCTTGGTTTCCCTCTGCCGCCTTTTACAACACCCAGAACACTAAATGGGGTAAAAGTAAAGTAAAGTTACAGCCTATATACATCCCACTGCTGGGCACAGGCCTCCCCTCATTTCTGAGAGGGTTTTAGGGCAAGGAATTGTCCGCCGCGCTGCCCCAATGCGTGTTGGCGAACTTCACATGTCTTCGTTCACGATCGTTTCCTTCACCGCCGAGCACGTGGTAAATCAGCACTTAAAATTGCAATTAACAACTTCATTGGTGCCAGCGGGGATCAAACCCGGTTTGCTCGCGTACTTTGAAATTTACAGCGAGTGCTAACCATCTGAGCTACCATGGCACGGCTATATGGGGTAGTGGATATTATTATGTGGCCACTACACGGTATTTTTACTGATACCAAAACCATTCAGTATGTTTTACAGGTGTTACAGAAGTATTTATTTTATCGGCAATCTATATAATCCGGTATTATGTAGAATACATAGGATTTATGTAGAATGCCGAAAACGATCAGATGAATTATAAAATATCTCCATTTATCTAAGCATTCTATAGAATACCGAATAGATTCCGTCTAAATATCTATTTAGGGCTCTACCTTGGCATATAGCATTACATAGCTGGTTATTTCACACACGCTAATTTCAGATGTGGAGGATCTTTCCTGTTAGGCTTTCTGCTGTCCTTTCATCCAGACATATGTCAATTGTCCTACAAGGTTCCTCTAGGTTCTTCAAACTGCTTCTGATCCAGAGTGTTAATAAATACTCTCGCTTCCATTGTGGTTATGTTCTGCAGGTTGTCACACTTTAGGTTGGCGTCGGATTGGGATGGGATGAGGTTTTTTCCATCTTATCATCCCATGGGTGTCTCTGATATGTGACAGGTGATGGAATAAAAATTTCCATTCATAGAACTACCATTAAATTAGATTACGACGGGCTGTTTTCCGCAACTCCACGTCTAAGCGTGTATTTTGCGTGTGGGCAGGAATAATGTGGTTATTCGAGCCATGATATTTCCCCGAAGAAGTTCAACAGTCCTTTGATGTTGCAAGCAACTTCGGGGAGTGATCCCGGCGTGCCGAGATGTTTAGCACTGTAAGAAGCGACTTCTGGACATGTCAGCAACCCGTGAGCCGCCATATCTTCCTCTCCCATGCATGCCCTGCACAGAGGCTATCAGTAACACCTATGGTGAACAAATGTTTGTTAAAAGAGCCATGTCCTGTGATAGGACTTGTTACTATCCTGATCTGTGGCTTGTTTAGTCTTATTAGAACCTTGGTTAGACGACTGTTTATTTTAGGCAGGAGAAAGAGTAGTAAAAGAAAAGTAGAAGTACCATATCAGTGACAAAAATGGCAACAATGCTGGGATTATCCGGGTAAAAGTAAATAGAAGGGGGAGGGGCGGGTTTACTTCTGGAATTTTTTATTCCATCTGTGATTATACATCGATGGGCGGTGGTATGTAAGTCTAAGAAGGTGGCCTTGGCTTTGTTACTTTGGACATAACTAGTAAAAAATAAAAATATGTCATATTTTTATTTTGCATTAATAGTAAGCGCCTTTCTATTAAAATAATCTTGTACAGATCTAAGGCATCAATGTCGTTTGCCAATCAAGAAAACGACACGTGTCTTGTCTTCGTGGTTTCCTGAAGTTTACCTACTTCTATTATATATTACATATTATCTATTTCTGCCCGCAAAATACAGTGGCTTCATTGCCGTATTTCATAATGAAGTGTATAGAACCAGTACAATTATTGAATATATATAATTCCATCCATATCATCATAATGGTTTACAATCTGGAGTTTTGAATGGAGAAGAATGTTCTGCCACGTACGACATTTAATTTTTTTATGTCGCCTTCGGTTTTTCTATATGATGATTAACCAATTGTGTAGAAGTGAATATATAAAATAAAAGTCTTGGGTGTGTGATAGCAACGTAAGATAATCCATCACCTCATTTTGTCCCGAGGGTGACGTAAGAAGAGAATGATAAAGAAGAAACGGGCTTATTTCTATTCAAAAGTCAAGTGTTGTTAATTGTAATTACAAAACTGTATTTTGGACATAATCTTGATCTATCTCTTGCTCGTATATCTTTATTTGAATCGAACTTGAAAAATATTTATTTGCACATATGGTACAAACAAATGTTTTAGAGATAGAAAATATTTTTTAACTAAGTATTTCGTACAGATTAAATATACTAAAACATAATAAATATAGTTTGCTGTCTTAGAATAAAAAATACTTGCCTTTATAAAATCATCCTGTACTTAAATATAAATATAATTACGCCATTACATTCCTCTTTACAAAATTGAATTTTAGTTATAAGGAAAATATTCTTTTCAGAACTAATTATAAACGTTTATCTTTATTTGATTACACAGAAACAAACTCTGTCAGGTCATCGGAATCCAGTAAGGGTGACAAATAAGTTAATTTTAGATATCCTGCTTTGCTAGGGGAAAATATTTGATAAAAAGTATCAGTCAATTTGTCCTATCACAATTAACCTGGATATCGTATGTCTGTGATATCCTGTGTGATTTCCGACGCCTCAGCAGGAAGGTATGGTACCTGTCCAGCCTTTGGCTGCGAGTAGAGGGCGAAGACCGTCTCCGCGTCTACATGTGCCTCTATAGGTCCCATAGCAGTAATACCGACACAGACCGACACATCGACCACGTCCTAATGGCTGCAAACTCCGTGCTACAACATGCCAACTTCCCATCCACAGAGATCGTGATCCTCGGTGATTTTAACGCCCATCACTCTGGGTGGCTTGGTTTCCGTTTTACCGATTTTCGATTATATGTTCTTTTTTTGTTTGCATGCTTGTTATTATACTATTATATAATAACATACATGTAAAATTATATTTATATGGTAGAGCCATGCTGCAACTAAATTAGTTGTATAGTTGTGGCATGAATTGGTCGACTTGACCGGGGATCGACCACGCTCTCATAGCATACCAAAGTAAAATAGCAGGTTAATGCTGTGTGTTTCATACGGTAAGTGTAGAGAACCGGAGACCCTTTATATTGGAAACGAGGCATTCCATCCTAGTCCTCATGGTGTCACCCATATCTGCATTTTGATTCGTAATTGAGAATAGATGTAGATGTCTATGGACCACAGCAACTACTTACCATTAGGTGGATTGTGTGCTCGTTTGTCACCCTTATCATATAAAAAATGTTATTTTTTGTATTTATGTTCTTTTTTGTATCTTTGCCATTTCTGAACTGATTTTAATGATTCTTTGTTTTAATAAGTATGTTACGTCTCCTATAAATTTGGAGAAAAATATAATAATAATGTCCTCCGGACCGAATATCAGTCACGGCGACCAGCCTCAACGAAGACTAGTCATCGACACAGGACAGGATTGTAGTGCCCAAGTGTATGCGCAAGCACAGGTGCAGTCTCTATTCCCTCATCTCATAATTCGATCGGTCGGTAATTCGATACGACGCAGAATGATCAACGGCGGCCCAGGGCCAACGGTTTTATGTGCTTTCCGAGGCACGGGGGTGAGACACCGCCAACTTGTCCGGGCATTTAGTGAGAATTTCTTAACGGAAAAATTCAGTAATTGATTTTTTGGAGAAAAATATAGGGAGGGAGGGAGGAAAATAGGGGAAGAAGTTTTAATGTAACTATTACTATGTATGACATCTTGTATTGTTGTTAGTTGGTTAGTTGAAGTGATATTACTTAATCGACACAAAAGGTTGATAAAAATTAAACTTAATAAGAACTAACCGCTGACTTCAAAGAACTTAAAGGAAGAAAAATCACGATTATATATACAATCAAATGACGCCTGTATAATCACTTATATCTTGTATCCTAGTTTCTATTCGTTTTAGACCAACCTATTTTTTACTTTTTTATATTTGTTATTTTTGAAGTGAGGAGGTTTTCACCCGGAAGTGTGTATCCCAATATTACTTATAATTAATAATAGGTCCTCACATATGAAATTGGCGTTATGTACGGGAGGAATATAAAGTCAATTTTTTTTGTGTAAAATATATTTAATTACTTACTTTCGCCATCTCACAATCATCAATCATCAATCAATGAAATCATCCCGTTACTAAAAAAACCATGGGGGCGAGAATCAATAAACTCTTTGAAGGCAGCTTGGACTGCCGCATCGGAGTTGAATTTTTTCCCTTGTAAGAAGTTGTCCAAATTCCGGAAAAATGGTAATCTGTTGGAGCAAGGTCCGGGCAGTACGGTGGATGTCGCAGACATTCCAATTGTAGCTCATCTAACGTAGTGGTTGTTGGTTGTGCAGTGTGTGGTCTTGCGTTGTCGTGAAGCAGCAGTGGCCTAGAGCGATTGACCAATCTCGGTTGTTTAGCAGCTAGTTCTTTCTTCATGGTTTGTAGTTGCTGACAATAGATATCTGCCGTAATCGTTTGGCCAGATTTTGAAAGCTGTAGCGAATGACACCGGCGTTAGTCCACCAAACACTCACAAGTAACTTTTTCTGAGTCAATCAAGTCGAAGTGTAATAAGTCTATGATGAATCACAATAATATTGTAATTGATAAAACTAATGTCGACTGTTGTATGAAAATTGGGAATTAAATGGCTATTATAATTTTTTTGGCGTATCTATATAGTTTTCTCATCCGGTTGGTTTTATTATTATTTGGGGGTATTAATAGAGTATTCTCATCTGGTTGGGCTGAACAAATATATAAAAGAAAATGATAGATATATATTTATTATACTAATATAAAAAACGTAAATAAATAAAAGCCCAACCAGATGGAAGCCCTCGGCAGGAGAGACCGAACCGCCGGGGGTTAAGGGGAAAGGGAAAGAAACCGGTGGACGATGCGGGCGGTATCGAGGAGCACCGTCTTCTGCATTTGAGCCCGGAGCAATCCGTCATGGAGTCCCAGCCGCCTCAGATGACCCGAGAGGCTCACTGGTATTAGCCTATTTGCAGAAACGACTACAGGAATAATTTCGGTCGGCAGACCACCCCACATGTCGGTTACCTCGTCAGCCAGGTCCAGATATTTTGTTTGCTTATCTGTTTCGGCTTTCACGAGGTTCTTGTCATACGTAATGGTTATGTCGACCAAAAATATCCTACTGCCCTGTTTTAAAAATATCCGACTGTGCCCGGTCCATCAGCACAATATAAGGCTTATTCGCAAGAATAGTTCTGTCTGTGACGATGGCCCGGTTCCAGTAGAGCCTGGCGCGATCATTTTTGAGGACGGCTTCCGGCAAGTACTTATAATAAGACAGTTTCCGATCCACGAGGCCTTATTTCAGAACAAGCTTCTTGTGTGAGATAGAAAGCGCCGAACAACCGGAGATGACATGCCTAAGTGACTCACCGGGATGGCGACAAGCTCGACAGATGTCGACGGTGCCATCCTTTAGGATGTATCTCCGATAGTTGTTGGTCTTAATAACCTGATCCTGTATTGCACAGACAAAACCCTCGGTTTCCCCGAAGAGGTCACCGAAACGTAGCCAGTTGAGGGAGGCGACTGTATCTACGAAAGGCTCATACCTCTCGACCTTGTCGCGGTCGGAAATGCTATGTACTGCCGCCGGGTCCTGCCATTGCTCGATGGATATGGATAAAGGGGTATGCCCTTTATCACAAAAAATGACGTCATTACAGAATGGATCATCCGATCTCGCCAGGAAGTAATTACGAAGGCTGCACACTTCACGATTATACATGGGAGCGCACTTAAAAAGCCAAGCACACTATGCTTTCGCGGCAAGTACAGCCTCATTACCGACAATCTCGGATGATGCATTCTATAGAACGTCACGGTAGTGCGTACTTTCCAATCCAGGGCGTTAAGTTCAGTCTGAGTCCACCTGAGTATGCCAAAGGTATAATACATGAGGACAGGCATGACCCAACCGTTATATGCGTGTGTCTTATTCACACCGTACAAAAGGCTGTTAAGCACTTTGGTCAAGTGTGCATAAAACACGTCGCAAAGTGACTGTTTCATACCCACCTCATCGATACCCTTATTCTGTGAAATACTCAGGTATCGGTACGTTTCGGCCTCGTTATGTTATTATTATTATATTATTTTTGAAGTGAAACATATTTATTTACGTAGTGGAGAAATTCAGTACGATAATAAAATAAAAAAGCGTTACGTTTCCGTGTAACGTTTCACCGCCGTGGCTGCGTGAGTATATCATGAAGTGAAAAGGAAAAAAAAAGATATATCGTTAAGAAATTTCACTGCAAACGTGTGTACACAATTTCAGGCAAATTTTTTTAAGTATAATTTAGTCACTGCTGTGCAAACTGTGTACTGATATTGTTCTTATGTGATAAATACATGTCTTAGCCTGATAATAGCTTTTGGATGCAGGGCTTTAATTCTTTTATACATTATATCTTAGATCTGATTTCAGAAGATTCAGAATTCGACATTTCCTTTTTATTAGAAGCTTAATTTACATGTCTTGACGAATGCGTCAGTGTTGTTATAAAAATTCTTCATTTTTAACTGTTGCTGGGTGTGATTGATCGTGTAACATCTGATTTTGAACGACTTGACCTGTTAAGGTCATAATCACAAAATTTACTTATTTGTTTCGTCGAGGTGATAGTTCATATTATGCTATGACCTATGATCATAATTATATATATCTACTAAATGGTGTTGTAATTAAATTTTATATGGACAAAAATGATTCCTATTCATAAAATATCTTACTTTAGTGTCTATAAGAAAATCACCAGCCAATCTTTGCCTCAAGTGATTCTGTCATAAATATTAATAAATAATTATACTTAAAACCCAGGGTTTTAGCCAGTTTTGTTCTTTAAACAGTGATGACATTTGTTAGAGCTGTATTAGAAAACAACATTCAAATAAATATAAACCTTTTGATAGTATTAAATTCAAATTGTACGTCAGTGAATATTTTATTATTAAAGGTTACAGAGCTTGCACCATTACGTTCTCTCCTGGAATGCCTTCGTGAGGTGTCACTACGTACGAACTTCCCAGTGCCAAACCTTTGCGAATTCGCGCAACAAATCTGTGATGGTATGACTTATTTAGAAAACAAAAGACTGATTCATAGGTAAGTTCGCAATATACTAAAAAATAATAAGGTGGAGATTTGTAACAAAGATATATAATTAATATACGAGTATACTGAAAAATTCCTTCTTACAGGGACTTAGCAGCAAGGAATATCTTAGTGTTTAGTAAGGATAGAGTTAAAATATCTGATTTTGGGCTTTCGCGTGCTCTGGGTGTAGGGAAAGATTATTACCAAACTAATTACAACGTGAATCTCAAACTACCTGTCGCCTGGTAAGTATTTTTTTGCATTTTTTTTGTAATTTTTATTAGGTTTCTTTCTGTTTTATTTTTTAAGTTTTCGCAAAATCGATTGTTATACACATAAATAGTAAGTGTTTATAAGACTCGTTGTTACGTATTTGTTTTTAAAAATTATAATTTCAGTAAAAATAAATATAAATTACATGCTAAATAAGATTTAGAACAGAAACATTAGAAAATATGTGTCTTATATGTACTTAAATCGGTCTGTTTAAGAGTACACACTAAATGTTTACAAATCCGCACCAACGTGTTTCATGTTTGCACTACGTTTGGATTGGTTTGACCGAGGTAATGTAAAGTACAGTTACAGCCTATATACGTGCCACTGCTGGGCACAGACCTTCCCTCATTTATGAGAGGGTTTTAGGGGAATGAAGTGTCCGCTGCGCTACCCCGATGCGTGTTGGCGAACTTCACATGTCTTCGAAATATTTTTTTCTTATCCCTCAGACATGCAGGTTTACTCACGATGTTTTCCTTTACCGCCGAGTACGTGGTAAATCTGCACTTAAAATTGCAATTAACAATTTCATTGGTGCCGGTGGGATTCGAACCCGGGTTACTCGCGTTCTGTTATATTTACAGCGAGCGTTAACCATCTGAGTTACCACGGCACGGTTTGACCGAGAAAAGTCCATACTCGGACAGAATACTTGCGTATGTAATGAGCGACTAGAACTGAAGACTCTTTTTCTGGTAATAAATCTTTCCATCTTGGCCATCAGGGGATCCATTTTCTATCGATTCTTAATCAAGGCTAGATATAGGTGTTTATGGGCCACAACACACACTTACTTATGCCAAATATGTGCACATTTGTTAGTAACTTCTATAAATTATGAACTAAATATTCCTTTAAAATAATTCCTTTAAAAGAAATAGAGAATGTTTGTGTAAAGTAGCGTGAAGGTCAGCAGAAGAATCTGCAGGGCAAGCACGAATTATACGATCTTTTAAAAAAAATGGATTGGACTTATTACACGTTTTGGGTACGGATGTATCAATAGTAGGCATCACAAGCCAACTTTAAGCTACGCTATAGGAAGACTACAATTCTACAAAAATAGGGAATTCATTCATAGACCCATATCTACATATACTTCAAAGTGCACATCGTAATTGAAAATTTTTTTTAAAATATTGTTCTTTTCAGTAATTAATTGCATATTTAAAATTTGACAGCCCTATGACAATAGTACGTTATATAAATATGCATTCAATTATTTAATTTTTAAAAGATTTTTTTAAATAAATGTATCCTTATTTATTTACCCTGCCATCTAGCTATTTTTTGTAACTTGTGACACTAAGAAAGCTATAAAGTTTATATTGATCATTGATAGATGGCGCTAGCAACTAAAATAAATCCGCTTGCATGTACTTCTTAAGCCCCTAGCTTTTCATTCAGTTGTCGTCGTCCCGGCTATTCACCAGCTTTGTGGATAGTAACTTGACTTAACCTAGGTGTAAGTAGGTACTTAAAATGAATGGAGATAGGCTCATATAAACTGTCAGAGACACGAGGTCAATCACTGAGTTTCTTAGCTAGACACGAAAACTAAGCAATTCGTTTGCGCACAAACGATGACACCGTGTTAGATTTTCGAAACCGGGACTTGTCAACCGGATGTAAAGAGCTCTAACCCACTGAGCTACAGAGTTGTCAATTAGACAGGAAACATGTTTTTGTTTCTATTAAAAGTAATGAATTCATCTGATATGCAGTCATTTGTTATTATATTCTTTTAATTACGCAGTACCAAAATTAAAATACTACATATTAAAATTAAAACACCACAATTAAAGTGCCAGCCTTCAAAAGATAAAACTAGAGCACCACTAACGTTGCTTCGTTGACGTTATCATTATGTTCATTTATCTTTCGTTCGGTTCGTGCTGAGTGCGGCATCATTTTGGTTGTTTTTATGTGCTTATTGTTCTATTCATTCATTACAGTCTATAAAAGTCCACCACTGTTGAACAAAGGTCTCCTTCACAGATCTCCATATATTTCATCCATCGGATTCGGCTATGGATGCCCCGCTTGGCAGGCGGGTTGTGAACCACAGTTTATAATTATTTGTTATCAGGAAGATGCTGCTGCCCATTTCCTGTTTGTGTTTCCCTCTGTCGGCTCTTTATACTACACCCACGGGACGACATCATGGTGTAGTGGACTTCTTGCGCCGCCACTGCACGGCGATATTAATTATTACTGTACATTTTTTTTTTTCAATTAATCGATTTACACAACAGTGTGAATTTCATTATATATATATATATATATATATATATATATATATATATATATATTGAATGCCTTTATTATATTTATCCTATTTGTGTGGAATTGATGCTCATTATTTATGCTCAGCAGACCGACCCTAAAGTTGAGTATTATAATAAATGATCTTAGCTTGATTTTATTTCAAAGGTAGCCTAGTCATGGTCCTTTTTATATTTGGCGCTCTAATTCTTTACACAAAGTCTTCAGTTGTTTTATTCGGATGGGGTAATTATCGTTTCGGAATTTACAAGAATTCCTTTACTCTAACACATCTCTCCTAAATGTAATCTTAAATGTGTGTTTCGTTAATTATTTAATTAAAACAGTTGCACATAAATGTATTACAGTATAATATTAATACTTAAAAAATTTCAGGTGTGCGCCAGAATGCATCCTATACCTTCGTTTCACGTCCGCCAGTGACGTCTGGGCTTTCGGAGTTTGTCTCTGGGAAATGTTTACTTACGGCTTCCAGCCTTGGGCAGCTTTCTCTGGACAGCAAATTCTGGAAGCGATAGATGCTCCAAACTTTCAAGTAATTAATTTTATTACTAGTTCGTGGTTTCTGGTAATACCAATGTTTACAGTCTATGATTTTATAACAAAAATTAAATCATATTTCGGTTATTTATACATTTCAATCACAAATCACATTTAGTGACATGATCGCCTTTCTATTTCCCGTAACAGTAATAATGCAGTGTTTAGATTTTTCTAAAGTTGTGGACACAAACTATTAATAATTTTATACATGTATGTGTATAGTTATTGTAAATGTTTGTTACCATAATTCGAATGCAATAGAAAAACGAATCAAATAGCCATCTCAGTCCTTAAATATAAATGATAGTTTCCTAAAAATAATCCAAAGCTTCCATAACTTTGATGGACAAGTTTCATTTTCTTAAAAAGTCGCGTTCAGCAATTTTATTTTAATTAATTGAATTTTTGTACTTTAATCAAACTATATTTATATAACGTTATACGAAAAAGCACTCTCCTATTTTGAAATTCAACAACTTGTTTTACGGCTTTTTGTAGTTTAATAAACCCTAAATAATACTTAATACCTTTCGAAATATGTATGTTAATCGGTTATGTAAATTGTGCATATTCATTAATGTACGCCTTGACGTATTCGCACTACGTTTTAGTAATTCACATGAAAACACAATGTATCTCACAAGTCAATCAATTTATTTAAAACTTGAAAGATTTTTAATATTGATATGGTCACAATAAGATGTTGTTATGTTAGCTAATTAAGTAATAACTTAAGACAGAAGGACCCTTAAGTAGGGACTGAATAAATTAACCGACTTAGTATTACATGGATCTCACAACTTTTTACGGTAGAAGAACTGAGTTGCGAGACTTTGTTTTTTTACAAGTTATGTTTTTGATGGCATCTCATTTATTTTGCAGATAGTCCTACTTTTTTCCTTCCGGTACCTTCTACTTCTTGATTACCAACAAAGTACCTATCTACACCTTTTATTCCATTATATTATACACATATACAGGTACACTGATTCATTCACTGCAAATGTAACTTTGTAATCCTATATATTTATATGGGATTACAAAGTTATTTATGTAATTAGCGTATCTAGAAAACTGGACCGAAATTGAAATATATTTTAGTTTTTCCTTGATTTATACACTAAACACTAATTGTGTTCTAAGTTTGTAGCTTCTATATCTGCTAGAAGTGCCTTAGAGTTTTGATGATCGGTCAGTCAGTGAGTGACAAAATTAAGAAACTTTGACTAATTATAATTCCTAAACTAATGGTTGAAATTTAATGAAATTTGAAATATACTGTTTCTATACATGACTGCTTGGTTTCTGAAAATTCGGGTTTCTAGTTCTATCCACAACTAAGTTATAGGGGGTCGAAAATGGCCTAAATTGCTTTGAGAAAAGTATAGTGCGGTACGGTCTTGCCGCTTTTTTGCTCGATTTGGCGACAGATATGATCATTCAAATCTACGAATTTGTCTTTATTTTAGTGGTAATAATATTTCATTCTCATCAATAAATGCAACACTAATGGCGGATGATGTCATTTTGACGTTAACTGTCAAAACAAATAACCTGTGACAAATTACAGCTTCTCCAATATGACTGGAAGGGCTCCATCTTGTAAAACCATCAAAAACTTGGGATTGCATTTTTATTTTAGCACCTTATTTAGTTTCATTTATTCTCGTTATTTTATTTTATTTTAAATAAAATCTGATTTTTCTATTTTTACGGTAGTTACATAGATTTCGCCTGAAACAGACAGTCTCATTTAAGTAACTTACGATTCATTTACTACAATAAATAAAAATGAATAAATGGAAAAGTTTGTGAAATTAATAAAAATAAATTAAAAAATCTTATATTTATTCCGCCATTATGTTGTTCTTTCTCAAAGTAATATCGCATGCGAATGACTAACGCCCTCGTTTGACTCCCTAAATGAATACTACTATATTTTCAAATGAATACATAGATTAAGCAACTATAATGTTATAATTTATATTAAACTGTAACTAAAATTGATATGTATTGTAATTAAAAAACAAATATACTTCTGTTTAAGTCCTTTTTTGTCAATAGCTAATTGATATTTTTTTCTTTGCTGTGTGAATCGTTAATATTATTACACCTCTAGCCATAACGAAAGCTGTCATCCGCTTCATGCTTCAACGCAAAGACTAAAAACTACATTTTTTGGCGCGTATTTTTTTTAGAAACTCACAGCGTGAGACTCATGTATTTAGAAATAATTACCTAAAATCGCGAGCGGCCTGTGCGTTATACGCAGTCGGGGCTAGCGCGATGCCAGGCGATTCAATGTTAAAGTTTTTTAACGCTGTTTACGTAAATAGTTTTATATAAATACTTGTTGAAATAGTTTTTGTTTAGTGTTTAGTATATTTAATTGTAGGTAAAAATGGTTGTAAAAGTTTTAATGTATTTTAAAAATTATTATTTGATAAATTATAATAGCAAACGTCGTTCCTACTATAACTGTTGCGTAGATGGATACTAAATGAAATGACCAACAAAAGAATTCATCATTCTTTAAGTTACCGAAGAATTTTAGAAGGAAGTTATGAAAGGTGAATTTATTTAATTTTTTTTGTTGGATATGTACTTACAGCAAAAAAGAATTAAGTAATAATTTGGTCTACAGAAGAAATACCTAAGTACTTTATCACAAAAATTAGTTAAAATTTACTTCACTATCCAAGTATTTACTTACATACCTATACTTGTCTTTTGTAATTAAAATATTTTAAGTTATAATAACACAAAATACTAAAATTAAAACTTACGGTTTTCTGTGTTATTATACTTTATATTTTAGAGACTAGAGCGGCCGGAATGTTGCCCTGATGAATACTACTCAACAATGCTGGAGTGTTGGTCGCACGATCCTAACGATCGGCCGAAGTTTAAGGATCTTGGACCGAAATTACGAGATATTCAACCCGAACAGGTATTTTAAATTCATTAATATCAAAAAAATTGATTCACTTCATTTATCTTACTACTATTATTGTTGTCATCAATTAAAGGTTTTTTTATCTTTCGTAGGTTCAAGCTATTGTAAACTCCCAGAAGTCAGAAGAAGGGAGACGAAGTAACTTTCTTGAATTTAAAATGGGACAAATAATAACAGTGCTCGGAAAAGAGTGAGTTTTAATGTCAACAAACCATACGCGGTCAAAACGACAACACAGGTCAAAAATTTAGAAAGAACTACGGCTTTTTCTATATTGACCTTTTGATTTTGAAAATATAATGTAATAGTTGTAATGCATTATTAAATGCGGATAAGACCAAATGTATCCTTATACATTTTAGCTTAAATAAATGACTACACATGAAATACCACCTATTTAACATAAATTATCACTGAAACAAATACGTATATTGCGGTCACATTAACTTGACGCATCGCTGGAATGCGAGGCCCCGCCCGCTAGCCCCCACACTCCCATAGCTCGCCCGGCAATCGTCAGTATGGTTAGCATCTCTGTTACACTGTTGTAAATGACGTCATCAAAGCCATGCGTCAAGTTAATGTGACCGCGTTGTAATTTTTATTCCATTGTGGCATTCTTCATTCGATCAACAATACAAACTAGATAACGGGTCGCGTACGAAATCATAGCTAAATACAGTCCGCGGGAATATATACTTAAACATCATTGAAGTAATATGTACTTACATACTAGAACAGCTATCTCAAACAAAAAATGTGCGCTACTCTGTGTTCGCGCGTTTAGGTTTTTTATCATAGAATAAACATAGGTAGAATGATCCGTAGGTAATAGTAGATTGTATTGTTAAATAGGTAAATTATATCGAGAACAATGTTTAAATTTTGTCATTTATTTTGTATATTATATTTGTTTATTTAATATAATATTACATAATATTTAATATATATCACAATTACATTTTAATGATATTTTTATCTGAATATTTTAAAAGGTATCTATGTCAAATATAAAAAAAACGTACTAAATGTATGTTTAACAAAACTTATTAACATAAAATTTAAATTACAAATAATCAGAAATGCTGTAAATATTCGTTCATAAATGCTGGGCACGCGAGAGTTAAAAATGGACGAATTTATTCCACTTTGACTTTGAAGTGGAAACCTAAAAATAAAATAAAAGAATAATAAGCAGATTTAAACATGAAAAATTTAGCCTAATTATAATAACTTATATATGTTTCCACAAAAAATGTGTATAATAAATATATTCGTCCTATACTTAAGTACCCACGGAAATGTCGCATCTGAACATATTAATTTCATAATCTATAATCCATGATACGAGATGGCGTCTTAGGAATAATTTGTTTTATTATTAATTTATAATACTTTTTTATTGATTAAGTATCTTATTAACCGATGAAAAGTAATTCCTTGGTTTTTACTGACATTTCTTGAATTATTTGTGCAATACCTAAGTACACAAGACGGCATATTTTTATCAAGAGATTTTTTTTAAATCCACACAACACGTGACAACTCTACAATCGCCTAGCGAGTGACTGATTAAAGTGCGGTGCATGCACCGCAGTTGAGTGGAACAGAGTAGCTGAATGCAGTGTCTCCTCTAGTACGTAGTACATAATAGCTCAATGTTAAACATCTACATTTGTTTACTGAATAATGAATGTTAGAAAAAAATGTTAAAAAAAGAAATGAATGAGAGAAAAAATTAAAATAGTTTTAAGTTCAACCTAATTACAACCATGGCATCTAGTAATAAAGTCTTAAATCTTACGATCATAAGTCACAAAAAAAGAACAAAGCAATACAATACTCCTGTCACTTGAAAATTAAGACATAGGTTAAATAATATTTCATGTGAAATCAACCTTAAGATATAAGAAATAAAGTACTTATTCCCGTTATTGCCTTGCTAGCTACGTCGTTTTGTTATGTTTCTGTTTTCTTCTTCGAATTTGGTCCAGGTAGTAATATGGTCATAAGTTTAATTAAAAATTTTCCACACTAGCCATTAAATGCTATATTGATTGCATTTAATTAATTCAATATATTATATCTATTTTAGTTTTTGTATGTATATATGTTTTTAGTATACGTATCTATGTATATTATATATATAAATATGTACATTCTTTTTATCACACCAATTTGCCCTTTGCCTGTAATCTTCGTGTAATCCTGTCCATTCATTGGTTGTCTGGAAGATATTGCTGTCAGCAATAAGACCGCCCATTGCATACTTCTTTGGGTTGATATAATAAATATAAATAAGAATAATAAATGAATAAAATACTAATTATTTTATGTTTTTGTGTATAATATGATTATTTAATTTATAAGTGGTTTATGTGTTGTACACAAAAAGTAATAAACTGCAAGTACGCTTTTTGTTTTTTAAATGTATGTTATATAGGTGGCTGGCAAAGGTGTCTATATAGCTGGATGTCAGAAATAAAATTATCACTAAATTTCACGTCTTTATATTCATCTTTACAATCTTTATAATACAAGTACTTTTCAGTGCAATCAAAAATCAAAATGTTTATAACAGAAACAGACTCTGAACACTGAAACGGATTGCTAGGAAAGCTAAAATAAAAAGCTTAAAAAAATGGCTCTCGTGTCTCTAGTCTCATGTGCGCTCTTATTTACTGAGAAGTATTCTTTGCGCCGACCCGACATCTAGTTGGTATTGTTGATCGAAGGTCGCATTAGCTAAAATAACCTTCAGAATACAACAAGCGCAGGCATATATTTTGCGCATCATAAAAATATGTTAATAAATTTCTTCACAATATGATGATGTGTCACACAACGATTAGAGATTGTGGAGCTTTCCATTTCTTAATCAGCAGTTATCGATGGCGATAGCAAGTTCTCGATACACGAGTTGCCTATGCAAACATAATAACTTTGGGTTTATACAACTGTCAGAGCACTAGTTTGTTGTTTCTGCTAATAGTTATATTTTTAAAATATTACTATTTACTGATCTATTACATTTTATTTTCACAGTTATTTGTTTACAGCCTTTTGAGGATAGAAATGTGTTGGTAGCAACAGATTTTTAGAAAATTATTATTTAAAAAATGGAAATGTATTCTAATTTGAATAGTCTACAAAAAAAAAATGGAAATGATACTAATTCCCGATTTGGACGATTTACATTTTATATTTTTTCATATTTCTGTTTAATAAAAATGGAAAAATTACAATATTATCATGGTGGCACATTTACAAAATAGCAAAATTATGGCTACAGTTATTCATGTTTTTCTGTTCAATAAAGGTTTTTTGACTTGATAGACAAATATTTACAAATTTGTCAGAAAAAAAGGTTTATTAAACGCGGAGTTGTAGTTTAAATTTTACATTGTTGTAAGAATTGTATTGCTATTCTGATAGGTGTGTTGGTGATTATTACTTATACTTTAAATACATATTTTTAGTTTTTATCGAAAATTTCAGGTGTTTGTTTACAATTTTAAAGGTTTGACTAATAAATATTTAGCAGTCTTACTCTTACAATTTTGTAGCTTTATTAGATGTATTTTTACTGTACAATTTGACAATATATGATTTTTTTACAAATTTGTCGGACGTAAAATTTATTAGATAGAGCCCAGACGATAGCTCTGAAATTAAAAGTTATTGTTTACACACAAAATATACTTTCCAGAACTATGACTAAATCGTCGTTGTGGTATGGAGTTTTACCGGGAGGCACCTGCGGTATGTTCGATCCCAATCATACGAAGCCCTACGTTAGATCAGAGGTGAGCTTACTTTACAACCGTGTGATTTTACCCAGTTTCATTTATCGCTTCTCTCTCCATCTTAACCCTCTGTTTCTGTTGATCGTTTTATTTCGCAGTCCCTATGCGACCCGGCTTTAAAATAAAAATTATAACTTTCTCAGGGTTGAAACTTATCTAGATAATTTTGGAAATTAAAACATTATATAAGTACAAAATTTCATCTGAATTCGTTAAAGCGCTTTTTATTTTTAATTTTGTTGTTTGAAGGTATGACTTAAACAATAAAATGTGCGTTTTGTGAGAAATATGATTGATTTTTATTCCAACGAGACGACTTATATTTATCTAATACCGACGACAATTTTTATAAGTAGTTTTCAATTAACACACATGACTGTAATATATAGGTACATTCAATAAAAATGTAAAATGCAAAATGTCTATACATTTTATATTTTGACTAAAAATAGGTAATCAAATACATGTCTATCATTTTTAGAATCTTTTGTGTGTTTGTCCGTCTATCTGTCTGTTTGTTTATCAACGTATCACGTTTAAAGTACTAATATTTTTTTAAATATTCGTTAAGAAAATCATAAATAACATGACATTTGAACTTAGTTTTATTAAAATTGGTTTCTTCCATCAAAAGTTATGATTATTATATTAAAATGTAGGTAGGAATTTGTTCATTGGTGGTGTTGAGTCAACAAGAACATTTTAATTAATAATAAATCCATAAATAACAAAACATAAATGTGTAAAGTAATGAATCCTTAAAAGTAAATATTAAAAGTTAACGAAAACGACTTATCACATAAAAACAGTCCCGTTAAAACCATGCACATTCATGCAATTATTGTATTTTTTCTCCAAACCAGAGAAGCACACACGTGCCCGGTTCGCTATCACCGCATCCGATTCGCAATTCCACCCGCACTCGACCGTCCATCTTGCGGTCAGACGTGAAGCGGCATACGTATACGGGCAAACGAACGATACAGCGGAGCATGATATCTAGCCCTCAAGGCGACGTCAAGCACACCGGCCACGTTGGCCTCGACGGTGCCTACTTCGGCGACATATCCTTCCTCGATCCTGCGGGCTGTGTGAGTATAGCGACTGCTTTATATCTCTGGATGCATATGCAGCAAAATCAGTTTCCTTTTCAAATGTATTCTACTTTTATATGTAAAGTGCTAGGTATTTTGTAAAAAAATTATTATTATCTTTTTATTGTTTGTTTTTGTCTTAACATGGAGAATAGTTCTACAATAAATATAAAAGAAAGCGTTCTATTTACAAAAGGAAACAGCCGTAAAATCACTTAATTCATATCAATGACACTGATAAATTTAGACATAGAATATTGCAAATAGAAATATATATCTATTTTGCTTAAAAAGATAGATGAAAAACTAGACTTAATTCAAACAAAAAATAGTTGTCTAATAAATACTATATTAAATAAATGTTACCTTATTTTGCTTTTAACTTAGGAAAACGAGTAAAATAAGGCGAGCAAAGCCCACAGTGCATATCGGCTGTACCATTTCAAAACCTAGTAAGGTCTAAAATCTAAATTTTACAGGAAAACTTTTAAATGTAAAATAAGTAAGCCTTTGAAAAATATTTGTGTTAAGTTACAAATATATTATTATTATTATAGGGATATCTGTATAGTTTTCTCATCTGGTTGGTTTCTATAAATATATAATTATAAATTAAAATGAAAAGATAAATATACATAAATATCAATAAAATAAAATAAATACAAAAAATAAACTAATAAATAAAGATCCAACCAGATGGAAGTCCTCGGCAGGGGAGACCAAACGGCCGAGGGTTAGGGGGAAAGGGAAAGAAACCGACGGACGATGCGGGCGGTATCGAGGAGCACTGCCTTCTGCATTTGAGCCCGGAGCGGTCCGTCACGGAGTCCCAGTCGCCTCAGATGACCCGAGAGGCTGACTGGGATTAGCCCATTCGCAGAGACGACTACAGGAATAATTTCGGTCGACACACCACCCCACATGTCGGTCACCTCGTGAGCCAGGTCCAGATATTTTGTTTGTTTATCTGTTTCGGCTTTCACGAGAGTCCCCAGCTCCATTCTAATAGAATTGCTAAATTCACAAGTGATGTTTAGCAATTCCACAAGATGGGAGCGACTGGTGGCGAATAACTTGAGGTCATCCATATAGAAAAGGTGGGTCACTTTTGTACCTCCTTTCCGAAGCTGAAATCCCCTCCCGGAGCCTTAGTAAAGTACTGAGAGGGTTCAGAGAGAGGCAAAACCAGATTGGACTCAGACAATCGCCCTGGAAGATACCCCTTCTTATCCTTATGTGGTTCTCCGCAGCCATCATCCGCTCGCCCAGATAGCAAAGGATCGTACTCCATTGCCTCATACACTGCTCGAGGAAGTCTCCAATTGCACAGTCAATTTTGTACAGCTGGAGGACTCTCTTTAGCCATGTATGGGCACCGAGTCGAATGCCTTTCTATAGTCTATCCAGGCGGCGGAGAAATTCCGACTGTTGCGTTTCACCACTTTGCCAATGACCGCGTCAATGAGGAGTGGTTCCTTGGTTCCACGACCACCGCCCCGACATCCATTTTGAGCGCGTGACATCACCTGATTTAGCTCCAGGTGACGAGTGATTCTCGCGTTCAAAATGGATGTTAGTGTGTTATATATGGTGGGTAGACACGTGATGGGGCGGTATTTGCTCGGGTCTGTGGTATCCTGATCTTTAGGTACCAAATGAGTGATCCCAGTAGTGAAGAGGGGAGAGAGCGACTTCTGATCGAGAGCCTCAGTTTTCAGTGGTAGAGCCACGCGGCAGCTTTGCTGTTGCACGTATGGGCCGGCTCAAACCGGGGTGGTAACACGACCTCACAGAATACCGGCGTGAAGTGGAAGCTCTGCTTCCGCGTTTCGTCTGGTGAGTGCAGGTGGCCGGAGGCCCAAATCCCCCCCCCCCCCCATCAACATGGTAGCGGAATTAAATGATAATAGACTACACCAGGAGGGTACCAGCATCGCAGGAGAATCCCTCGCTGAGCATTCACGATCATGTTTCTCCACTTCTGAGCGTGGGTGCTCAGGCTGCCCCGCGTATTCTGGGGAGGGGGGGGGCAAAATTCCGCTCAAGACTACAACTGCTCGGGGCAAACGGAGCAACAAAACCAATGCGACCCCTGCCACGCTGTCCGTGAATTTCTGCAATATCAGGGGACTTCACTCTAACCTAAACACCGTCCACTACCATCTCGAGACGGCGAGGCCGGCTCTGCTCTTTCTGACCGAGACGCAGGTGTCCTCTCCGGCTAATGTCTCGTATCTCTCCTACCCGAGGTACAAATTGGAACACTCCTTTGTGCCTCGGGCTGGAGTTTGCGTTTACGTCAGAGAGGACATCTGTTCTCGACGCCTCGGCAGACTTGAAGGTTCGGACCTGTCCCTCATTTGGCTTCGCGTAGATAGCGACGACCATCCGCGCGTCTACGGGTTCCTCTATAGGTCCCATAGCGGTAATGCCGAAACAGACCGACTCTTCGACCACGTCCAAATGGCTACAGATTCGTTGCTACAGCAGATCCCCTCCGCAGAGATCGTGATCCTCGGCGACTTTAACGCCCATCACGCCGAATGGCTTAGTTCACGTTTAACCGATCATGCGGGGAGATCTGTTCATGATTTTGCCTTGGCATATGGTCTGACACAACTGGTTACTTCGCCTACGCGGATTCCAGATGTGGAGGTTCATGCACCTTCCCTGTTGGACCTTCTGCTGACCTCTCACCCGGATGGATATCAGATTTCCGTTGACGCCCCTTTAGGCTCCTTGGACCATTGTCTTGTTCGGAGTGTGGTGCCACTCACGCTGAAATCGCAGTTGCAATCTGCAGGCTGCCGCCGTGTTTGGCACTATAGGTCAGCCGATTGGGATGGGATGCGGTCTTTCTTTGCATCCTACCCTTGGAGGCGGGTTTGCTTCTCGCCGGACGATCCCAACGTTGTTGCGGATTCTGTCACTGATGTGGTACTTCAGGGTATGGAACTTTTTATTCCTTCCTCTGTGGTGCCCATTGGAGGCAAATCTCAGCCATGGTTTGGTCGCTCCTGTAAAATAGCATCATGCTATAAGCAGGAGTGCTACCGAGCCTGGGCTGACGCATCAGCGTCCCGGGATGTAAACACCAGCGCTCTAAAAAAGAAGTATAATTCCGCCTCTAGGTTCTTCAAAAGAGTCATTGCCAAGGCAAAGTCAGAGCACATAGGCAGAATTGGCGAGAAACTAGTCCGCCTTCCTTCTGGAACCCGTGCATTCTGGTCTCTCGCCAAGGCTGTCCAGGGGAATTTCTGTCAGCCATCTTTTCCATCTCTGCACAGGGAGGACGACTCACTGGCCCATACCGCAAAGGAGAAAGCCGATCTTCTAGGCTCTTTCTTTGCGTCCAACTCGACTCTAGATGACGTTGGGAGTACGCCGCCGACCATCCCGCGGTGTGAGTGCTCCATGCCGGAAGTGCAGTTCACACAGCGCTCGGTTCGCAAAGCACTCCTCTCCCTGGACATTCACAAGTCGAGTGGGCCTGACGGAATCCCCCAATTATGCTGAGGACGTGTGCTCCAGAGTTGGCACCGGTTTTAACGCGTCTTTTCCGGTACTCTTACTCCCTAGGCGTAGTCCCAAAATCATGGAAGACGGCTTTTGTCCACCCGATCCCTAAAAAAGGCGACCGCTCAGACCCGTCCAACTATCGGCCTATCGCCATCACCTCCTTGTTCTCCAAAACAATGGAGTCCATTGTAAACTGCCAGCTCATGAGGTACCTTGAGGATTACCAGCTGATTAGTGACCGCCAATACGGTTTTCGCCGTGGTCGGTCAGCTGGTGATCTTCTGGTCTACCTAACTCACAGATGGGCGGAGGCAGTAGAGTCCAAGGGGGAGGCATTGGCCGTTAGTTTGGACATTGCGAAGGCCTTCGATCGAGGTTTGGCACAAAGCGCTTTTTTCGAAGCTACCTTCCTATGGGCTTCCCGAGAAATTGTGCGATTGGATCACCAGCTTTCTTGCAGATCGGGGCATCAAAGTCGTTGTAGACGGTGCAAGCTCCGATTGCAAGCCTATTAATGCTGGTGTTCCACAAGGCTGCGTGCTATCGCCAACGCTGTTTTGCTTTTGCTTTTGTTTAACTGTTACGTCAGCGGGCGATGGGGTCGTGGGACCTCTTATCCAGCTTGAGCTTAATGCCGAGGGGCACATGTGGCAAAATCGCTTGATTTATTTTGAATTGGAGCAAATGTTAATTTTAGAGGTACCACGCTCTCACAGAATACCAGTGTCAAATAGTAACTTAATGCTGCTGTGTTTCGTATGGTGAGTGTATAGAACCAGAGACCCTTTTTCGACCGGGGAACGACCACGCTCTACCATCAGAAGAATACAAACTTAAATAGGAGCTTATGCTACTGTGTATCTTATGGTGTGTGTAGAGAATCGAAGACCCTTTTTACTAGTTATTAATTTTAGTCCTCAAGTATGACAACGTATCTGCATGTTTATTCCTTACTGAGGATAGATATGGATGTCTATAGGACACACCATTACCTTAAGGGCGATAAACGAGCACATAACCCACCTGATGGTAAGTGGATGTACATATACAAGTAACGTAAAGGGTGCAATTTTCATTTAAATTAATTGCTGAATATTTTTCATTCTTTTAACCATTATTTAAGGAATTGCTATGGAACATGGCTCTCGTGCGGAAAGCAACTCTTTATCGTCGAAGCCGACAACCTAAAAAATAACGTTTACATTTACGTTTTTAGTAGAACTAACTACGAAATTCACCTCCTTTAGTTGAGGAATGTTAATGAAGTTTATTCGTGTTTTTTTATAAAAAAAAAACAATTGCATTTTGATGTCTAGCCGCCAAAGCAGATCGTTACGCCCTACAAGCCGTCTGAAGACTTAGAACAAGTGCCTCTTTTGAATCCGAACTCTCCGTCACACCTCACCGGCGCATCGTGCACGCCTCCGTATCCGCTTCTAACATCAACGCGTTCGGATATGAAGAATAATTGCGATGAAGTCGATTTGGCTTGTGAGTGCTACTTATTTATTGAAATGGATAAAACCTTTGTAGGTATACATGTACCAAATATTTTAATAATATTTTTCTTGAAGATTGGTTCTAAAATATTTGACCTGCCTTTGATCGGGCTTGGCACAAAGCGCTTCTTTTGAAGCTCCTTCCTATGTGCTTCCCAAGAAATTGTGCGATTTGACCTCCAGTCTCCTTGCAGATCGGTGCATTAAGGTCGTAGTAGGTGCATAATCCGAATACAAGCCAATGAATGTTGGCATCGGAATCTTCGGCGTCGTCATATCGAATGACTTGCAATTTTGTGGTCGCGCGACCTCTTTGTGGAATCGTTTGCCACTGGCAATTTTTCTGAACCATTACGACTTAGGGACCTTCAAGAAAAGAGTTTACTCCTTTCTAAAAGGCCGGTAATGCACCTTAAATTCCCCTGGTGTTCAGTTGTTCTTGAGTGGCGGTAGTCACTTACCATCAGGTGTTACCACTCGAGTGGTGGAGCTATCGTCGCGCCACAAGCGAAACGCACCGAACCCTACATTGCGCTATCAAAGTTCCGAACTTCCCTCGCTATATAAGTATAGAACAGCTCCGAAATAACACACTGACCATTGGCCGCTAACCGGGCTGAATACATTGCTCGGCGGGAGATCTCCCCTTTTTCTTCCACGGCCAAAATCATTTGCCCCCTCTTTTATGAAAAAAAATTGTTACTTGTTACCTGTCTGGCTTTCTTACGTCTTCATGGCGAGATAAAAATGTCATTGAAGTTTATGTTACTCTGTTGAGCTATTTTATATATTTTTTTTTTATTTATTATTTACTAGTAACCGCGCGAATTTGCTGTATGGCGGCGGCTTGAAATACGAGATCCGCTACTTCATATCATCCCTTGGATGTCGTAAGAGGCGACGGAGGAAAGAGGGGATGGGCAACAGCACCTTCCTAGTAACAACATAAATTAATAAAAAAAAAACTGGTTGCCAAACCGTGTGTCAGCGTGGCAACTATGGCAAAATCCCCCAGACTTTTTATTTTTTGGTAAACTGCAAGGAATAAATGAATGAATGTCGGATAAAGAATGGAATTAGAAATGGCGGCTCATCAAGCATGAACTGTCAGCATCCATGGTATATGAAGCGAAATCAGCGTTAGTAACGTTTCATATTACTTTATAAATAACAATATTATAATAGTGTATAAAACTTTATGTTAGTTTAATTGGAAATCTTTGTAATCATTTTCAGGACAAAATCAGTTGAATTATGTAATTATATTATTTTTAGTAGGTAGAGAAATCAATTTACACATTACAATACAAATAATTAGAAATTGCTAAAACTAAGTTTGAAATGTCTTTCTCAAAAGAATTTACAATAATTCACTTTCATGAGAAAGTTTGAATACATACAAAAAAATAATAATCTTGTCCTAGGCGTGCATTAATATATCGTATCATTTCACTCGTTCACATTCAATCACAATTATACATTTTTAAGCTATTTATAATTCAAAGAATAAAATGCAATATACAGGATACTTGTAAAAAACTTAAGTAACTAAGGAGCAAACGATGCTTGGACGCGCACGTTACATGGATCGAGCGTAGCTATAAGCGACATGTGAAATTGTGCAACTGACGTGCACTCAGATTAGATGTTAAATAGAATTTTAAAATAAAAGTACAATGAACAGTTACGATCTGTTACAAAGTATAGGGCACTGGATGAAATGACGACCTGGTAAGAGATGTAGGCAGTCGATGGATGCAGGTGGCTTAGGGACCGTGCTTTGTGGTATTTTTGGGAGTGGCCTACGTTCAGCAGTAGACTTGTGAATGGTTATAATTATGACGATGGTGATGATCTATTACTCTGGCCTGTATATAAAAGCAAAATAAACGCATATCGCAACTCATTAATGACGTTATTTTTTGTTATCGATGCCGTCTGGTGTGAGTTGACATGTGCAACCAAAAGGTGAACAGAGATGCCGCCATTTATAATCCAATTATTTATCTGTGTGTATAGTATAAAAGTAATATATTCTTACTTTACAGACAATGATACCAAATTGAAAAACCTAAAGAAAACTCATTTAAAATCTGTCTCTGAACCAACTACCAGCAAGAGCATTATGAATAAGGTAAATCAATTTTCCTTCTAATTTTAAAATATGTGATCTGGGAAGCTCACCTTGTTATATTTATTTAATTAAAAAATTAAAAGTTTTTTGTGGAGTATAATATAAATATTTACTTTGTAAAGATTATCTAAAACGACGTGAATTCAAAATTTCAACTAATTTTTGTTTTTATCCGACGATTATTCTCAATCCTGGACAAAAGTTAAACGTTGTATCGACTACACGGTATATTTCTTTTAAGCATGACAATTAGTTAATATCTGATAGTCTGATATATTTTAGGAATCATTAGAACTTTTTACGTAGCAAAATTTTGACATAGGTAATATTTGGTAAAGGTAAAAGTAGCATTGACTTGGCAGCGAACATTATGAAAATATTCAGTTAAACGGCCTTAGAAAATAAACAGTAATATAATTACCTAAATTTAATACATTTTCTAAATTACAACAATTTTTATTTAAATGCGTTGGGGCGAACATGCGTAGTAGGTGCAACTAAAACTTACAATTTTGTGTATAAGTATTTATGGCTTGTAGTCACAGATAAATGAAGGGGAGCTTCATACAAGCTTGAGGCGCGAATATGCTTTATACCGGCTCGGCCAGTAAATTTTTTGTTGCAGTAATTAGTACTTGATAATTATTTATTATTTTTAATGTGGTAGATACGAGTAGATATCTATCTCATACATATACGTCAACAAATTTATGGCATTTGTTTAGTTATTTGAGGAAAAATTTCGCAAATATTCTATTTCGAAATATTCATCATTAATATTGATAGTCATGTAACGTGAAACGCATGCAAGCTTGTATTATATATAGCCTTGTGAGTCTATATACCTCTATTAGCCTATATCTTTCAATTAGCTTAGTGAGGAAAACCCTTTACGTTACATTTAAAATTTTCTGTTAAACTAAAGGGCACAATAAATTATTGAAAACGTATAGTATAGTATAGTTGTAACACAAATGGTTCGGCTCGACCGGGGAAAGACCACGCTCTCACAGAATACCAGCGTAAAATAGCAGCTTAATACTGCCGTGTTTCGTATGGTGAGTGTAGAAAACCGGAGACCTTTTTTACTGGAAACGAGGCATTCCATCTTAGTCCTCACGGGTGACACGCATCTGCATTTTGATTTCGTAATTGACGATGGATCTGATGTCTATGGGCCACAGCAACCACTTACCATCAGGTGGACTGAGTGCTCGTTTGTCACCCTATCCTATAAAAAAAGTTAAAAAAAATATTCTATCATATTTCCATAATAAAAAGCTGATAATCGTTTTGTTTATTTAATATTGTCCTTTTGTGTCAACCCTACCGAAATAGGTAAACATTTTGAACACTCCTTAGAAGCTTTGCCTCTGTACGGTTTCTTTACTTATGTGGGTGTCGTAAGAAGCGACAGAGGAGGATGAATTTGGAGATGGGTGGGTAGCAGCAACATTTTTGATAACAAATTAAAACAATTTAAAAAAAGGTGTTCCCAATCCGCCTGTCAAGTCCGACAACAAATGTGTCAACATTGGCAAATGGCAACACTATGGCAACATGCTACAACTATGGCAAATATGCCCTTATGAAACTATCCATAGATCTATAGGTTAGACCTATGTTCAGCAGTGGACTTTTGATAGGCTATAATGACTCAATGAATGCAAATCGGTATCTTAGCATCGTTGTCATTTGAAACTGGATGAAACGAAAAAGCGAGACTAAAATAAATCAAAACAAAACGAAATTTCGGGAATCAAGGAAGTGACACAACATTACTATTTAAAAATGTATTTATGGATTTTCGAAGTATTCTTCGCGAAATTTGACACATTTTTCCATACGATGGAACCAATCATTGACGCAACCATTCCATTCGGAAGTTGGGGTCTCCAAAAAGAACCGTTTTGTAGGCGTCCACAGCTTCTTCAGGTGATGAAAATCTCTGTCCACGCAATTTATTCTTTATTTTAGGGAAAGTATACAAATCATTAGGGCTTAGGTCGGGGCTGTACGGCGGATGGTTCGGATGTTTTCTTGCTCTAACTCTTTTGTTCTGTGTGCGGTGTCCCATTGTCGTGATGGAGGATGATGCGGCGGTTGCAGTTCTCTTTACGGAGTTCAGAAACGACCTGCGGCAAACAAATGCTAGCATACCATTCTGCATTAACCGTTCTTTGTCCCTCAAGAGGAATAGTCGTAACATGGCCGGTTTTGGAGACAAACGTGGCCACCATTTTTTTTGCAACACTCCGTGAATGAAAAATGTTTATTGGCTTTAACTCATTTTCGAACACCCAATGAAAACTCGTGACTGGTTTTTGTTTCGGGTTCGTACGCGTATTTCCAGGATTCTTCACCTGATACGATGTTGTATACAGCATTTGAGGATCCTGCGTTGAATATTTCGAGAGTTCTGACGCACCAAGTAACGCGAGCCGCTTTTTTGCTCTTCACAGAGCGAATGCGGTATCCATCGGGAATATAACTTTTTTACACCTAATTGTTCATGCAAAATTATTTGTATTTGACTCATGCCAATGTCTAAAGTTGCCTAAATTTTGCGGTATGTCACATGTCTATCTTCCTCAATCAGCTTACGCACAGCATCAACGTTTTCTTGGGTGACTGCAGGTTTTGGACGACCTTGAGGATCATCACTGAGCTTGACACGTCCACGTTGAAATGCAGTAAACCAGCGATAAATTGTGGTTTTGGATGGGGCTTCATCCCAAATGCAAAAAGCATCCGGTCAACACACTGTTTTTGTGTTAAACCACTTCGAAAGTCATAATAAATCATCGCTCTTGAATTTTCTCGAGTCAATTCCATTTTCTCAACGACTAAACAAGTTTGACAAAACCTTGTGACAAGACCGAGAATCTTTTTTTTAAATAAATAAATGGTATTCGATTTTTAAAACCAAGGAGTTTTCAATTAAAAAGATTTTAATATGACAGGAACAGTGGAAATATTCCATTCCCGATACTTTTAGTGCAGCCCTCGTATTATACAAAAATTTTGTTTAAGAGTAAGGTGCCATATATATATATATATATATATATATATGTAGTTACCTATATTATGACCTGCAGTTAAAAAAGACACTGAGGAAACAGAGCTGACCAAGAACGTCGCCCGTATGTTTTGTTTCGCACGCTTTTCAAATTATTCATATCGGATATAATCGGCGATGCCAATATATCGGTCTGCCGATTATATCGGCCGATATATCGGTCTACCGATTATATCGACCGATGTATCGGTATCGGTAATCGGAATCGTTACATTCATAGTTGAAAATTATCTTATTAAATTAATCATTAGGCATGAAATTTTTTTATCGAACTTGGCTTACACAACGTGCGTGCTGTTTGTTTATATAAATTAACCTTCACTTTCCCACTTAAAATACATTTTGATGTGTAACCTCATTTTCTTTAATATTTTGGTATATTTTCAAAATTGGGTTTATATTATACAAATTTAACGATTACAGGTGAAAAATGCGACACTCGGTCGGTCGCATAAAAATGACGACGGCTTCCACGGTACCACGGCAAAGGGTGACGAAGTCCACGAGTATCACGAGATATCTGACACGGATACGGTGATTATATCTTTGTTATTTTTATAATAATTGGCATGGGGTATAAACAACTAATATAGGTATCCTTTAGATATATACGTAATAAAAACTAGGTGTTAGGGCTCTTTTATAGGGGACGCCTAGAAAAGGGGGTGAGGGGAGGATCCACAGAAATCGTAATAATAAGACAATAGAAGTCGCATAGATGCATTACCTTGTCGCCGCTGTGATGTGTTGACGAACATCATTCACCATTTTGTGATTTAGTTCCGCGGGGAACGTTGTAGATGAATTTATGTTATTATAAAATTATAATGGTGAACTGCAGCATAATCAGTTGTAAAAACTTATAAGGACGTGTAATTCAACTAATAAAGGCATAACATTTCATCGGTAAGTTGATGATTTTCTAATTATCACTGTTTTAACTAATCTAGTTTTAAAAATCTAGATGAATACTTTACTATGATATTTACCTTTGTAAACTTTCATTTATTACTTTTCGTGTTGTACAATTACCATTGCTGCTTATGTTCTACCGTAATACGCGATGCACGCGACGTTGACAAACTCACTAAGCAATGTAATGTGAAACATTAGATATCATTGTACATTGCGTATGTTTATAATACGGTAAGATGTGGCGACATCGGTTTTGGGAGTAATCGAGCGCTAATTCTTTTCTATTGTCTTATTATTACTATTTCTGTGAGAGGATCATTTTGGTTTGTATTAATTCTTAATTTTTTTGCAGCGATGATTAATAATCACAGTGATACAAAGATGAATGAATATCTATAATATGAACAACAGTGCCCCACTGTTTGTGTATCGATCTTAAGAGTAAGAGCGTGCATGCGTAGTACATATATAAACTACAGTCCATGCTGTGGTTTTGTTAAAATTAAATTACAAGTGGCCAGGAGATGCAGTAACCACTTAACATCACTTGGACTGTTGGCTCGTTTGTCATTTTTATAATAGTAATACGTGAACCTTGTATTATTCATAAGATTCGTTATAAAAAAGGGGAATGCAACTTTTATCACTGGAAAGTTACTGTGCAATAGTTGAGCAGAAAAATGTCAACTGTTTCAAATATGTATATTGCCGTTAAACAGCACACTACTTACATAATTTTTCTGTTCAAAACGTTTTATCCAATTAATTTGTGGAATTACTATAGGTCTATTTGCAAATTTAGTTCACATCAAAATGGTGTAGGTAGTCATTTTGTGGTATATAGAGTATATATCATTGTATTCTACTAGTCGTTCACTTCAAGAACGCCGTTACCTCCCGCCGCGCCCCCTCATTCCGCGCCTCAAGCGTCGCCCTTTTAATATCGATAGCAACGTCGAAGTGTACTTACGTCCATTTTTTATGCTCCCGTACGTTCTCTAGTTTGTTACTGTTGATTTTTTGTTTTTGTTTCTGTTGATATTCGTTAATTTGTTCTGTTACAATGAGTAAAAAAGAAAAGGTCTTGCACAGTGGCGAACGCAATTTATTATATAAGATAATGACATTCTTTGAACAAGAAAAGGTTGAAAAGCAGTTGATAACGCCTTATGATGTTCACGATGTCGTAGCTATGAAAAGTATTGCCAGATTAAAAAATGAAAACTCACGTGATACTTGTGGCAGCACACTGCTCACACAGCCCGATGCACCGTCGGAAATAGAAATTAAGTTGTTGGAAAATGAAAAGAAGTACCAGGCGCTATTAAAATCATTCGATAACGTTATCAAGAGAACTGCGGCCGCCACTGGTATATCTGAACGTACTTTAAGAAATATAAAGACTGAAGCAAAAAAAATTAAAACGAGCTCACCTGAGCCTACTACTTCAAGTACACAAGAAATAAAATTGACGTCACCGAGAAAAAAAGAAAATAGCCACAAAGAGGTTGGAAATAGATGATTTCATGGTGTGTTCGATTCGAAACATAATTGACCGTTTCTACACAGTTAAAAAAGGCAGTTCCTACGCTGCGCAAGATATTAGCAGAAGCAAAGAAAGACTTCAATTTTCCTGGGCAAAAAGTCACTCTCTGGAAAATTATAAAAACTAATCTTGGATATAAGTTTACAAAAGCCACTATACCGATTCAAAATGCTGGCAAAATGAAACTGATGCAAGTGTAAAAAAGAATTTCAATCCCGGACAACGTTGGATTGTGGTCCATGCTGGCAGCGAGAATGGTTTTGTCAAAGGTGCCGAACTCCTTTATAAATGCAAAAGCACTGCAGGGGACTACCATATTGAAATGGACGCAAATAATTTCAAAAAGTATATACAGGAAAAACTCCTACCCAACTTACCTCCCAATAGCATTCTTGTACTTGACAATGCACCGTATCACAGCCGCCAGATTGATAAACCATCGACTTCAGTGGCACGCAAAGAAGTTATGCGAAAATGGTTGCAGGAAAATGGTATATCCTTTGACCCAAAGATGACGAAGCGAGAATTATACTATGTAGTATGTCGTTCGAAGCCTACCAAAAAATATGAAATTGACGAAATTGTCCAAAGTCATGGACACGAAGTCTTACGCCTACCACCGTACCAATGTGATTTGAATCCCATCGAGTACGTGTGGAATCTAGTGAAGCAAAAAATAGCCGATAAAAATGTAAGCCAGTCTGAAAAAGAAATACAAACAAACACTCACTCTGGAAGCTATTAATAGTATCTCTGTAGAGGACTGGAAAAAAGAGGTAAACCACGTTGACCGTTTACGGCAACAATATTGGGAAAGCAATAGGTTGCAAGAACTCAACGAAAGAGAATTGATTATTTCGGTGGGCGGAGAAACTGATGACAGTGACACAGAATGGAGTGATGACAGTGACACAGAAACAAGCGATTTCGAAAATCTTTAATTTGATATATTTAAAATGTAAAATAAAACTATAAAAAAAATATTTTATTTTATCGAACACGTTATTATTTCATCATCATCATCATTCAAAAAATATTTTATTTCATCGAACACGTTATTATTTAACTTTATTGAAAATATGAATACTAAAAAACATAAACATGATGACTTTTTTCGTCTACGGTACCGTCAGCTGTGACGTCGTAACGGTCTACGACGGCAAACTCGAAATGAACGCGTAGTATATAACTTTTCTATAAGCTACCATGCCTCATCAAACATGAGACGCAATGTAACTATTTACAAAGTGACTATTTGTCAACGTACGTTCAGTTTTTTTATAGTATTTGGAGAAAACGAGCGATGGTAAGTGACTATGAATTGCAGGTACGTTGCCGGCCTTTCTGATAGGAGTAAGCTCTTTTCTTGAAGGTCCCTAAGTGGATAAAATTAGTGAATAGACCTACAGGTGCCGTATCTCATCGGTAACGACCAATGCTAGAAATGGATTGCTTCTATAGACGGAATTGTTTGCCGCCATCGTCTTGCTTGACAAACGTTTAAGCGATCTTGATGCAATCATCAGTCATGTAATGATATAATAGTATATGTTTGAGGAAAAGTATAGCATGGCTCTTACTCGATTCTAAAGGAATGCTTATCATCATCAACCCGTAATACTCCACTGCAAAATATGAGTTTTTTCCGGACTAGTGTCGCCCACCTGACCCCGTCACCGGTCATGGTGTTTTAAATCTGGCGTCAATATGATGGATATACCGCCATTAATTGGAAGACTTGGGATCCTTTTCACATTTCCTTTTCAGTAAAGGATTCTCTTACACCCAGGCCACACAGCAAAAGCAAACCCTAATGTCACGTGTACAAATCGCGAAGCACAGCAAAATTCACTCTCTTCTACTAGAATATATCTAAGAGGGGTCCGTAAATTACGGGGGGCGATTATGACGATTTTTCTAAGCTCCTCCCCCTGGCGAGATGTTTTGAGATATGGCTCGACCCTATCAAACCCAACCTGATATCTCGTTAGATTTTTCAAAATGTATCTATATTTTTAATGTAGTAATGAGTGCGTTAGGTTTATTTAAAAAAAATGATTAATTAGTTCATATAATTTGTGGAGTTCACATTACCGTTATAAATTTTATTGTGTCGGGATATAGCGATATTTTACTTAATTTATCCCGATTTTCTTGAAATTTTACAGTTTCTTGTAGGAATAGTATATAACGCCACTAGGGAGGAAAGTATGACATCGCAATCTGCGTAGTATTGTCACACGAGCCGAGGGCGAGTGTGATAAGAACGTGGGTTGCGATGTCAAATTTTCTCCCGTAGTGCGTATACTATATTTAATTAAACCAGGATTGAAAGTTCGATTCAAATCCATGTAATGTAATTTATTCTCAAAGTATCTTGATATATACTTTTGACGTTTAAAAACTATAGAGCTATAAATTGTACTAAATAAATCAATGTGAGGTTAAAATGTATCATGACATACTTTTGACGTTTACAAACTATAGAGCTAGAAATTTGACGTATGCGTACTAAATTAATAAGTCACTGAATCGGGAGACAATGTGGCACTTTCATCCCTGAAAATAGGGTCGAAATACGAACTTTCGATAAAGGTATGATAAAAAAAAATATTACTTGATATTTGCCGTGACCCGGCCCTCCTTTAACGTGAGATTAGCCTCCCCCTAAATTAATTAATTAACGCCTCCTAACATATTACAGGAAAGCATGGCAGCCGATCTCATGAGGGGCGAAAATTTTGTATTGCCTGATAGTCCTGGAATTTCGGTAAGTTTCTTGATTTCGTCTTCATTTTTATTTACCCTTGCAATCAACAAAATCATGGAATTTTAAAGGAATCACCACCTTTAGGGAATAGTGAGCGTGAAATCGATATGGTTGCACTGGTACATTCCTCAATGGACCTCCAGTTATTGGTTATTGGTTGAGCGGCAGGCCTAAGGGATCCCGAGTTCGATTCCCAGGTTGAGCCTTGACCCTATTGTGCGAGATGTTATACTAGGTGGACTGTATACGCGGTGGCTTCTTATGCCTCAACAACATGACGGATGTGGCACGCGGCACCTTGGACAATGCACTCTTTCTTGCAAAATCTGTTGCTTGCCAAGGTTAGGAGGGAGTTCTACTTGAGCACATTAGGAGAAACAAAATGGGGCGGGTTAACTAATAAACAAAATGCTCAAATAGGAACAAAACTTACGGGAAACACACTTACCGGGGTGTGATTCTGATGCGGCAGACGACGCTTCCGTTGCGGTGATGCGACGTGAGGTGGGTTCTTCTGGGGCGCCCCAGAGATGTGATCCAGGCCAGTGGTGCGAAGGAAGAGAGCGGTGCGCGACGATATCTCACACTATGTGAGGCGGTTACTTCTGGAGCGCGACTGCTCCAGGTGATGCGGTTCAGACTAGCGGCGCGTGGCAAGAGGACGCTCGAGTGCACCAAGCACCTCGGTCGGGCGCGCTTCTCATTGGTCGAAAGAATCGCATCACCTTCTAGACTCCCCCTTTCTCCTTTCAGTGTGTACGGAAGGGATATTAGGTCAAAGGATGGGTGAAACGCTTGGCAATATACCCTCGAATAAAATTAAAATACACGAATCGTTTCCGCGTAACCATACCCCCCCCCCCCCGGCTTGAAGGGTCCCATAGAGTCAAAATAACTAATGCTAAGATTAAACCTAATTTTCGACTACAATTTCTAATCCAGAAAGCTAATTCAAACTATTGAATAGGCAAGGGGCACAAACGGACAACAGGATGCATGTAAGATCCAATCGTGGTCCTAACGCGAGCTACCCTAGTCGCGAGCTACGTCGGAACCGGGGAAAACTTCTTCGACGACCCCAAAGGCCAATGGAGAGGCGGCGTGTTCTCCTTTGTGAGCACAACCACAGTTCCGACAGTTAAAGGTTCAGTTGTTGTGTTCCATTTTTGCCGAGACTGCAACGTATGCAAATATTCCATCTTTCATCGTTTCCAAAACGACTGCACCCAACCGGTCCAATAATTTATGGCGTGCGGAAATACTAAGTTTGTTCTCGTCCATGTCTATGGCGGGCAGATATTTCAAAGGCGTTAAATTCAAAAAATGTGCTGCAGTTAGAGCCAGCGGCTCCGAGGGGTCACTTGACAACGTACGACAAAGGGGGCGACTATTCATGACGCACTCAATTTGAGCGAGCAAAGTACTTAACTCTTCGAAGGACAAAATTTGATCTCCTATTACTCGGTATAAATGACTCTTTAGACTCTTAATATTAGTCTCCCAATTTCCCCCAAAATGGCTCGCGGCCGGGACGTTCAGAGACCACTCGATGCGGTTCTCGGCTAGGATGTGAGCGAACTCCGAATTATAATATTTACTGGTTAAAAGCTCATGTAGTTCTGATAAAATACGTTTCGCGCCGACGTAATTTGTACCGTTATCCGAATACAATTTTTTTACAGGGCCACGGCGGGAAAAAAATCTTTTAAATGCACCCATGAAGCCCCACTGTGCTTAGATAACCAACGAATTCTATATGCACAGCCCGAGTAGTCAGACATACGAAAATGCAAACGTAAGCTTTTGTGGATCTTATACCACGCCCGCGAGTGAGCGTGACCTTAAACGGACCAGCAAAGTCAGACCCGGTGTGCATAAAGGGCTTTACGGATTGTGTTACTCGACAAGACCTAAGGTCCGCCATTTCCGGAAATGACGGCTTAGGACGTACTCGAAAGCAAGCCATACATCTGTGCACCCGATTGCGGATTAAATTACGTGCTGAAAGAATCCAATAATTCTGACGCAAGATTGACATCAGCAAGTCGGGGCCAGCGTGAGAATTCAATTTATGGTGGTAATCTACTAATAAATTCATGATATGGTTCTTACGCGGTAAAACTATAGGGTGCCGTTGGTCGAAACTCAACTGCGAGTTAGACAAGCGCCCACCTACCCTGACGATTCCATCTTGTAAAAATGGCTTAAGACGTTGAAAAGCGCGACTACAAGTTCTATTCGATTGTAATCTTGTAATTTCATCGGAAAAATGCGCACGTTGCAGTTCACGCAATACTAGCAACTCGGCATAGCTGTAATCGGACGCTACGATATACAAACGTCGCGGTAAAAGCTTCGCGAATCGACAAACGTAAATCACGCTATGCAATAATTTCGACCAAGAGGACAAACGGTTCGCCAAAGCAATGATTGGAGAAACCTCGCTCGAAACGTTCGCACCAGAGCGTGCCTCTTCTCTTCCGGTGGTTGGGACACTGACGAAGGAACGAAATCGGTTACGAGGGTTCCAAGTGAACCCAAGAAGGTCCGTGGAACCAAAGTGGATGGTCCATTATTTGCATCGTGGTGAGTCCACGGGATACACAATCGGCAGGGTTTTCCGTACCGGACACGTGATAAAAATTCCGCGATCCTAACTCGTCTTGGATCTTGGCCACTCGGTTCGCGACAAACGTATCCCAACGGTGGGGCGAAGAATGAACCCAACATAAAGCGACGGTTGAGTCAGAAAAGGCAAATATTCTTTCTATGTGAACTCTGTCACTACATGCACTGGTAACTGCGGTGATAAGCTTGGCAAGGACTAATATCGCGCAAAGCTCTAAGCGCGCGAGAGAGACAACCTTACGGGGGGAGACCCTTGACTTAGAGCTAATGAGGCTGATCGAATTTCTACCATTATTCTGGACGTGAAAATATACAACGCCCCCGTAAGCCTTCTCTTTTGCAAACCCAACGACAGTAATGACACTATTTCTATCGACGTTTATATGACGTGGTATTTTAATTTCGCTTAGTAAAGGAAGTTCCTCTCTAAAACGTAGCCACGACCGAACAATGCTATCGGGCGGCGGGTCATCCCAATCGCGTTCACATAACCAAAGTTGTTTAATCAGAAGCTTAGCGTATAGCACCACCGGGGCTACGAAACCCATGACATCCCATAATCTAGCAACGCACGACAGGCGCTTTGTGCACGTTTCTGCGGGCGGGTTTACCTTAAGGCTAAAAACGTCGGACTCCGGTGACCAACACAAACCGAGCACCTTGTGCGTATCAGAATCGTCGAGTTCCTTTATCGCCGAAAGGCGGTGTGACAGTGGGATTGTATCTAAAACCGTACGCGAATTACTAGTCCACTTGACGAGATCGAATTGACCCGATTTCATGAGCTTTATAACCTCGGCGGTGGTTAGGATGGCCTCCTCCACGCTATCGACCGAGTACACAAAATCATTCATATATAACCCACTCTCAATTGCCCTCTTAGCTTTAGGATAAGAGGGACTCTCATCAGAGGCGAGCTGTCTCACCGTTCGTAGCGCATGAAATGGGCTCGACTTTAAACCAAAGCAAACGCGATTAAATTTAAACACCATTAGAGGTTCCTTTGGGTCAAAGCGATATAAAATGCGTTGAAATCGACGGTCGCATTCACGGACCCCTATGCAAAGAAACATTTGGCGAATATCGGCGGATAGTGCTATACTGAACAAACGAAAATTTGCTATTATATTAAATAAATTGCCCTGTAAATTTTTCCCACTATAGAGGATATCGTTAAGAGAAAGGTGAGTGCTAGTTCTAGCACTAGCATCGGGCACTACACGTAATTTGGACGTATGTTTGGCTTCCCTAATGACACCTTGATGTGGTATGAAATACGACGGCGCGTCTTCGTAGTTATCTAATTTTGGAGCCACAAGTGATATGTAACCCTCCCTTATATATTCATTAATGACGCCGTCATAAGCTTCTTTTAATATGGGCGAAGCGAGCATCCTGCGCTCTAAACAGTAGAAACGTTTTGACGCGAGTCGCCGAGAGACAAAACATCTCCTTTAAAGGGTAGCGCTACACTATATCGACCGTCGCGATCACGAACGGTCGTGCGGACGTAAATTTCCTCGCATAATCTATCATCTGGGCTAACTATAGGTGGAACGTTCACCTTCTCCATCTCCCAAAATTTGCGAACTAACGACTCGAGCGGTTCGACAGCCATACAACAATAAGAGGTTGCCGAAATATTATCCATGATAGGGGTGGAACCAACGATGTCGTAGCTCAAGGCGGTCTCCAATGCGTAAGGCGCGGTATGCGAGGGGTTGCCCCTGACCTTAATGTGTAACAAAAGATGAGGGAAAAACGATGCTCCAATGAGCATGTCTATAGCTCCGGGGACGCGTAAGTATCGTCTGCCAGAGTAATTCTCAATATCAATCATTGCCGAGGTGTCGACCGAAACGGTGGCAGACGCTCGGTTACTTTATCTACTACTAATGCATTTATATTAAAGTTAATACTACGATCTAGCCGAGAATAAAATTTCAAATTTATAGACCCCTGGGTAATTTTAGTAGTACCTCCAATGCCTTTGACTACTGGACATGATGGTATCTTATTTATTAACAATCCTAAACGCTGGCAACATTGTCGCGTTATAAAGCTACTCTGTGATCCGCTGTCTAGCAACGTACGGACACTTTGTTCGTTTCCACGCGAATCCCTAACTACGATAAGGGCTGTATCCAGCAACACGGTGGAAGGAGACTGCGTTCCCGTATTCGAAAGTGAGCACAGGGCGACGTCACCCGGTCGACCGTTAGAAGCGTCGACTAGTAGGTGTAGTTTCCTTGTCCGAATTGCTCGACGCGAGTATGTTGCCACCTTCGAAATGTAATAACGTGTGATGTCTTCTGGCGCACTTGTTACACACGGAACTATAATTGCATTTAGCAACTAATTGTCTATCGCTT